GAAAACCTGACTTTGCGCGGTTTGTACTGCATTTTCTCCAGCTCCGATAACTCCATAGGGACGTAAGCTGGCTTCAATCTGTCCACAGAAACATTCTTCGACCTGGTTCCGACGAGTATAGTATAGGTTTTTGGATGACGCTCCAGTACAGCGTAGGGACCATCATATGGTGCTTTCAGTGGAGTTCGCACTGTGTCGTCTCTCAGAAAAACATGAGTGCAAAATCTTAGGTCCTTTGGAACGTATACCGACTTCTTTTCGTGCTGAGTTGTTGACGTGGGTCGTAGGTTTTCAAATTGTTGTTGAAGTTTCGTAAGAAAGTCGTTTTCGTTAATATGTGGGCTCGATTCGTCTAATAAGAAGTCGCCGGGTAACCTGATCGCCTGTCCATACACCATTTCGGCTACTGATACGCCTAAGTCTTCTTTTACCGCAGTCCTTAGACCCAGCATCACTATAGGAAGTACCTCAGTCCAATTGGTATCAGCATCGTGACATTTCAAAGCTGCTTTAAAAACTCCCGCTGGCATTGTTGACAATTTTTTACAAATGTTCTTATCTCAGCATTCATTTTGTTCCAAACAAAATTTTTAGCGATTAACTTTGTTGATGCTCTTATCCCGGGATGTGATAGTCCGTGCAATGATTCGAAGATAAGCGGTCGTAATGTACTTGGAACATATGGACGTGCTTGACCTGTTGATGTGACCTGTTGATGTGTCGCATATTATTTCGCCGTCGCAATATGGAACCTTAACCTTCTGCAGGGTAAGTGATGTCGAACTCGTTTGCATGAGATTCTGCAATTCGGTACATTTCGCTTGCTTTTCAAAAAGCACTTTGTAATCGATCGTCGCTGGTATTCGCAATGTCTCTGCCCGCGAGAGGACATCTGCCACAATGTTCCGCGAGCCACTTATATGTTGTATGTTGACGCAAAATTCTCGATATTAAAAACCAAAGCTTTTTCCCTATAAATTTCAAAAAGTTGGCGTAAGTGGGATAAATGTTCCTCCACTGATGATGATGCCACGAGCACGTCGTCTAAATACGGGAAAACAAAGTCGAGGCCTTTAACTGTATCGTCCATGAAGCGTTGGAACGTCTGTGCAGCGTTCCGTAATCCAAACACCATATATTTAAATTCGAACAAACCGAAAGGCGTTATAACTGCTGTCTTCGCGACGTCGTCCGGGTTTACGGGTATATGGTGATATGTCTTTTTGCAATCTATTACCGAAAATACTGTTTTACCATCAAGTTCACTTGCAAAATCCTGTATATGTCGAACTGGATAATTGTCGTGCATTGTAATGGCGTTCAAAAGTCTGAAGTCGCCACAGTGCCGCCATGACCCGTTGGGTTTCCTAGCCAAGTTTAAGGGACTAGCCCATTGGCTTTTCGATCGTACGCAAATACCGCGGTCCAACATATAATCAAACTCCTTCTTCGCAATCTCCAATTTTTCGGGGGATAATCGTCTGACCTTCTGTGCTATCGGAGGTCCCCTTGTCTGAATGTAATGTTTGGCTTCCGACGGTTTCTTGGACAAAGCGTGAGAGTCGTCCGTGAGGTCGATGTATTGAGCCATTAATTCATGGAAGATGCCGCTTGTTTTACGTATCGTTACGACAGATGAATCGTTGTCGATTATTTGGTACACTTGGCGTAGCTGTGTCGTTGCATCTACAAGGGACTTACCTTTCATGTCAACCAATATGTTAAAATTCTGCAAAAAATCTGCACCGATTATGGGATGGGACACGTCGGCCACCGTAAAAAGCCATTTAAACTGACGTCGCAATCCGATGTCCAATGAAAGAAGTTTTTTGCCATATGTGTTGATGTCCGTATTATTTGCTGCAAGTAATTTAATCAAAGATGGTTGTAGTTGAATGTTCGTTGGTTTGGGAATTACAGACAATTCCGCCCCTGTGTCGACTAAAAACTGCAATTTCGAATTTTTATCCCTAATGTATAGACGGCGTGTGTTGTTGTTGTGTCCCTCTTCGTTCGCCGTCGAAAACGGAGGGCTTACAAGTTTTCCGAACGGCGTGGTCGGAAGCTGCAAGCTGATCGGTGATCGATGGTACCAACAAATTTCGTTCGATGGTGAACGAGACGTGCGTGAGCGTGATGAGCTACCGCGTCGAGGTGATCGTTGTCGTTGATGATTCATATGGTAGCCACGGTTGTCCTTTTCTAAGCGATCAAACTTCTTCGTCAATTCAGCTATGGCCTTGTGTAAATTTCCGCTTTCATCGATGCTGCGTGAGCGTGATGAGCTACCGCGTCGAGGTGATCGTTGTCGTTGATGATTCATATGGTAGCCACGGTTGTCCTTTTCTAAGCGATCAAACTTCTTCGTCAATTCAGCTATGGCCTTGTGTAAATTTCCGCTTTCATCGATGCTGCTAACTTTCGGTTGGTCTTGTACCTCCATTATACAATCGGCTTTTCTCGCCAGTGTATTGACGTCACCTTCCACTGTTGCTAAAATTTGCTGAATTTGTATTGGCAGTTGGCGTAGCCATAAAGATTTCAAAATTTCAGCGTCAAGTTTATTTCCGGACAATTCCCTGATTTCACGTAGCAAGACAGAAGGTTTTTTCCCTTCTATAGCCAAATTGTCGAATAATCGTTTAAAACGGCTGTCGTCGGATTCACAAAACTCGTCAATAAGTCTTGCTTTGAGTATTTCGTACTTTCCAGTAGCCGGAGGTGACATTATTATATCAGATACACATTTCAATATCGATGAATCAATTTCCGACACCAGCGTATAATATTTCGTGTCATCTGTTGTAATCCCAGCTCGCATGAACTGTGCTTCCACCTGCAGAAATCATAGTTTCGGGTCGGGTTTCCAAAAAGGTGGTGGTTTCACTGCCACTCGGGATACTTGTGAGGTTGCTGTGTTGTCGTTTGTATTTACTGTGGCGCTTTCGTTAGTGTTCTGCATCGTAACAGTCGGTGGTCACCACTTTAGTGTGAGAATAAAAGTCGTTCTTTTTATTTAATATAAACTAAAGTTTTATTGTTCCTTATTCAATTCTGTTTACACACACACTAACTTGATCAATCATGAACTACTATGTTTACTGAAAAACTAATGACGCCGTGAAAATATACGTTTGATTTGAAGTTATGTCAATATATTAGTGAGATGTCAAATGCTAAAGTTTAATGGCGTTGCCAGATCATAAACAAGTGGGTGTGCACACTACAAAGTGATTTTCGGAACAGGCTTTGTATGGGACCGATTGGACCCATATTATGGACTGATCGTGAAAAAAATTTACAACAACATTTTGTATGCAAAAGCTATGACCAAATATGGGCCGATCGTGAAATTTTTTTAAATAAAATTTTTGTAAACTAAATTAATATTTGTGCCAAATTTTGTAAGGATATCATCATTTGGTAATGAGTTATGTGCGTTTAAGTGATTTTCTGAAGGAGATCTTCTACGGGAGCTATGACCAAATATGGACCGATCGTGAAACAATTTTAAATTTACATTTTTGTATACAAAGGTAATATTTGTGGAAAATTTTGTATAGGAATTTTACAGTATCATTTCTATATTTGTACCAAAATTTGTATGGATACCATTATTTAGTAATGAATTATGTGCGTTTAAGTATTTTTGGGAGGTGACTTTGTATAGGATGTAAGATTAAATATTAACCAATAGTGAAAAAATGTTGCAGTATCATATCTGTATATAAAGGCAATATTTGTGCAAAATTTTGTACGGATGTCATTATTTGGTAATGTGTAATGTGCACTTAAGTGATTTTCGGCAGGGGACCTTGTATGGGAGCTACGGGCAATTATGGACCGATTCAGAAAATTTTTTCCTCTACATGAATTCAATTGACATAAAACTTTTACTTGTAAAAATTTGTAAAGATATTGTCATTCTACCGAAAGTTATTAACAATTGGACCGATTCCGCCCATTTTTAACAGCAATCAAGCTTTCATACAGAAACAATTGTGTGCTGATTTTCACAAAATTATATCGTATAGTTTTTGTGAAAATTGTATTAGAATGTCTTTTTTCGGAGTTTTTTTTTAAATTTTGATTCATAACTCTTTCCTATGTAAACCAATGTAAACCGATTTTGCTCATTTTCAATACCAAACTGCCTAGGACAATAGTGAATCTTTTGGCAGAATTTCATTTATTTATTTAGCATCGTTTTTACATGAGGGTGTTTTACACAGAAATACAGACGGACATAGCTAAATCGACTCAGAATTCGATAAGTACCCGGAATATATATATGCTAATATTTCTTGGTGTTATACACAGAATGGCAAACTTATATATACGCTTTATCAGCACTGATGGTGGTGGAGGGTATAAAAAAGATTAATTTTATAAAATTTCAATTTATCCCAACTTTATCAATAACAAAACAAAATAAACAACAACAACGCTAAACGAAACAATCAATAACAAAATATACAAAGCAATGACCAACACATAGCCGAACATACGTTTTTTTCCAATAAGCAATGTTGTTGTTGCTTTTTTATCAACGCATGCAAAGAAAGGTTATTTTTTTGATAAAATTTTCAGAGGTTGTCTCGGTTGTTTGCTCATATCTCCGTTATATATAGACGGATTTTGCTGATTTAAATAGGGTACATCTCGAAAGTATGTCTGACAGAATTATTGAAGATTTGGATCCCGAAGATATCTGGGGTCTTCAGAAAATTTATTTCAACAGACAAACGGACATGGCTTAATCGACTCCGCTATCTATAAGGATCCAGAATATATATAATTTATAGCGTCGGAAAATTATATTGTCGAAATTGCAAACGGAATGATAAACTTATACCTTCTCACGAAGGTGAAGGGTATAAAAATAAAAATATCTAAAAAATTTTAAAATAGTATTACAAAATTACAGTATATAGTTGTTAATATTTTAATATTATGTGACAATAATTTGATATTTCTGATATTATTTTTTCCACACATAGAAACAGCAGTCAGTAGCTAATACATCATGCCATTCTTTGGGTCAAAGCACACCGACTGGTACCTTGAGCTCTACCAGGTCTTCTTCAACATATAATTCCAGACGGACATCGTTAGACAACAGTGTTAGTAATGATTTACAACATTTAACAACCAATCACATAGAAAGCAGTGAAAGCATTCAAGCTCAATATGCAAATATGGAAAATGGTATAACAGAAAATACTCAAGTCTCTCAAAAACTATCAAAACAGAATAGTTTAGAAAAAACGGTGCAATCAATGTCTGCAGGTAGCGCTGATTCAACTACAAATAATTCCAATCAACGACAAGGTGGTCTTACTCAAAGTTCAATAGCAGACCTGGAGAAGAAATTGGCTGCCCTCAGGAATGCTGAAATACCAGATGAGGTTTACAATTTATATATAAAATTTTCATATTTTCTACTATACAGTCTAATTTTTTTATATTTGCATATCGCTTAATTACTATTTTTATTATGCCAGTCTTATAGTAAATGAGCGATATGTATGTACATACATACATATGTGCATCATTTTTTCAAAATGCAAAACTAACGGTCAAACCTAAATTAAAGCGTTGAATTCCATACAAATTTGTTGAAAACAAAAATTACAAGTAACACAACGCTTTAATTTAGGTATGGCCGTTAGTGTCGCCTTTTTTAGAGTACCAAATATTCATTCATTGAGAGTTTTGTGTACTTTGAAGCAGTCACGGGCAGCATTGGGATTGTAATGCATGCTAGTATAGGCCAGAAAATTCTGCTGACGCTTCGTTGGCACACGTACACTATAAGCTTGCGAGTATTGGTGTGTCTGTGTTTGAGTAAAATGAAAACATGCTTGTTGTTTTGTTGTTGCGTAATTGTATAATGCATGTTACGTTCTCTTTTAATACACATAGCAAAATGTTTGATATTAATTAGAAAATTTTTTTTTTTTTATTGAAAATATGGATGGTTAAAAATAATTCTTTAATTATGAAAAATATTAATAAAAATTAAATAGAATTATAATTTTTAGAACTTCTTAACGACTCTAAACGGCACCATTTTTTTTCATTTTTTTTCCATTGATATGTAGTACTTTTTATACGGAAGCTAACGATACTATTTTTTTTTTTTTGGTTTGCTCTCTTATTGTTATGGAATTAACGACGTTCAAAAACTGTATACAGTGGTGGACATAAGTATTCGTTTCTCTATATACTTAAACTTCTATAAGCTGGAATTTCTACCTGATAGAAAAAAAAAATAAATAATATGTGTTGCAGACTTCAATGTCTTTTATTCAATATAAGATAAAATTCTAGAAAATTAAGATACACTAAATATTTTTAAATAATTTTTTTATTATGTGGTACACAAATTTGTGGGACAAAACTATTCGTTTTGTGTGCATTAATAACATAAAACTGTAAATTTATTACTAATTAATACTTGGTTTGATATCCTTTTTGTTTAATGACGTCCTTAAGACGATTTGGCATCGAATTAACTAATTTTCGTGTAGTATCCTCTGTTATTTTCTCCCATTCTTCCATAAGAACACTCTTTAGCTGACTCTGAGATGAAATGTGGTGTTTCCTTATTCGCCTATCCAAAATATCCCACAAATGTTCTATGGGATTTAAATCCGGTGACTGTGGAGGAGTTTTCAAGGTATGGGGAGTATTGTACAGAATTGTACAGGGTCGTTATCTTGTTGAAAATAATAACGACCACTCAAGTTAAGTTTTTGAGCGCTTTTGTTCAAATTATTCCGCAAAATGTCCAGGTACTGTTCCTTTTTCATAACACCATCGATAAATACCAATACTCCAACACCTCCGGCAGCCATGCACCCCCACACTACCCATGCTTTACGGTACTTTGAATGTGCTTCTGTTCCAGTTCAGTTCTCTGTTTTCGCCACACCAAAACTCGTCCATCAGACTTGTAAATATTAAATTTACTTTCATCTGACCATATAACAGAGTCCCAAAAATCATTTTCTTTATTAATGTATTCTTTTGCAAAATTTAATCGTTTTTCTTTGTTTACTTTTGTTATGCATGGCTTTTTTCTACATACTCGGGCGCTATAACCAGCTGCATGGAGCGTTCTACGTATAGTTCGAGGATGAATTTCCTTACCAGTTAACTCTTTTAACTCAGGAGCGATCTCAGAAGATGTTGTCTTTGGATTTTTGTTGATAATTTGAATTATTTTTCGATTTTCTCTCGAAGTAATCTTTTTGGGACGACCTTCTCTACTCTTATTTTGATAATCATCGGTACCGCTAAATCTTGATATTATACTGGATATTGTAGATTTGGGTCTTTTTACGATTTCTGATATTTCTTTGATTGTTTTATTTTGATTTCGCAAATTTATTATAATTCTTCGTTCTTCCACAGTAGTTTCTTTGCCTTTTCTTCCCATTTTGATATTTAAATCGAAAACAATTTGCAAAAAAAAAAAAAATACTTTTTTTCTTAATCCACGTATTTAACGGCAAATTTTTAAATTATCAATTTTAATACGCAAAAATTTTGGCATTGCCACCATTATTTTGCAAAAAAAAAAAAAAACAGCTTAACAAAAAAACGAATACTTTTGTCCAGGCAAAAAAGGTAGTGGGTATTATAAATTACATTTAAAATCTTTGGGACTGGTCTGAGTAAATTTTAATTTTTTGCAATGCAGGTCTACCAATTAAAGTTATAAATAGCAGGAAAAGAAATACCACATAATGATTTTTCCGCCTTAAAATAGCATAAAATGAACACGGATCTAAAAAACGAATATTTTTGTCCACCACTGTATATAAAGTTAAAAATCTCGGGAATGGCTTGCTCGATTGTAAAAAATTAAAGGTCGTGGAAAGGTCTTTCAAATGATGTACAATATTATATGACTTATTAACCCATTGAGTGCCAAAAGTAAAAAAAGGGGGTTTGAATTATCGGAACTTTTATAAAAGTGCCCATAATTCGAAAAGTGGCCGATATAATACATTTCCCAAGTATTATATAAAGAACATAATTAGCTTTCACTTGGTGCCTATAACATAGTGTTAACCCTTTATATTTAAAAAAATCAATTTTAAATGTTAGTATTTACCAAATGATAATAATTTTTATTTAAAAAAAATGTTTTCTTAATGTAATATAAACGCATTACAGTCCAAAAAAAAAAAAAATAAATAAATAAAGTTCTTCATTTTTATACCTTGATATTTTATCTTTTCAAGTGAAAAGTAAGGACCGAGACTTTCATAAATACATATAATTCTGAAGTTTAGACATACAAAAAACGTGTTGCACTAATAGGTTAAAAAGCGTCGCAATTTTCTGAATTGTTTATTGTATTATTTTGAAAAGCGCCACAGGCGAAAAATTATTTGATAAAATCGCGCGATTTTTTTTTAAATAATTTTTCACTTTTCTTTATTTTTTATTTTATCGAACAGAGAAAAAATCCTAACATTTTGTGAAATAATTTAAAAGTTTTATGAACTTTTTGCTGTATTATCTAGGAAAGCACAGCAGGTGAAAAATCCCGCGATTTTTTCAAATAATTTGTAATTTTTTTTAATTTTTTCTTTTATTTATTCCACAAAGAAAAATTCCTAACAAAAAGTCAATTATGTATTTAACACAAATATATGGAATAAAAAAGTATGATATTATTAGAAATTGGTTTAAGCAAATCATATTTTTCAATTTAAATATGAATATAATAACTAGAAGTCCGAAATAAATGAATTAATTAACAAGTTAAAGGGCTATATTAGGCTGAGCCGAATCTTAAATACCCTCCACCAGCTTATTTTATATTAATAACCTTTCAGGTTATCAAATATTTGTGGAAATAGGGTTTCTCATCTTTTCTAACACAGCAAGCAAAAAATTTAAACATTTTGTATACTCTTTTATAGCGCCTTAAAATATGCTTTAAAGATATTTAATAACTTCCAGGTATGCATGTGTGTGAAATATTTAAGGAAATTAAGATATGTGTACTTTTGTTTAGAGTTTGTTTATACTAAATTAATTTTACTTAACAAATTACATTTATACCCTTATTCTATGATTTTTCGATCGTTTCTGTAAATGTACAGAAACAAAAGCGTTAACATTAATATTTTGTATTCTATAATAACAACAGTTTTAAAATTGGTTTGTGAATTTGATAATCAATTCAAATTTACCAGATGCACAATTTTTATAAGTTTAGAACATTGAAATTTCGAAATAAAAAGAATTCCTTTTAGACATACAGGAAGACATTGTGAAAATATCATGAAAATCGGTCCAGCTGTTTATTAGTTAAAAAGTTATAAACGGCCATAAAAGGTACCAAAATCATCTTTTTTACACATTTTTATACCCTAAACGTACACCCATATACTTTTCTTGTATCTCTAATGTGTGTACTAAAAAACCTGTTTTACCCGTTGTTTGCCTTTTTTACCCCTAAATGTTCTAATTTGCAAAAATCGCTGTTTAAGAAAATATTACTACGAAAAACTTATCGTTGAAATTGACATTTCATTTCGTTATTAACAGAGCACTTTTATGTTAAAAAAATAACATTTTACAAAAAATGTTTATGGAATACAATTTCATGTTAAGAACGGTAACATAACGAACGTTTAAGTTATTGAATAAGGGTATTAATTATATACGGTTAAAGTGGTTTTACAATAACATTTCTGTAAATAAAAGCTATATTTCTGTCAAAATTTGTATCTATAATAGCTATCTGGTTATAAGTGATGTGCATTAAGTGATTTTGTATGGGACAGATCGGACTCATATTATAAACCGATCGTGAAAAAAATTAAAATAACATTTTGTATACAAAAGTAATGTCTGTGTCAAATTTTGCGTGGATATCATTGTTTGGTAATGAGTAATGTGAATTTAAGTGATATCTGGGAGGGGACCTTATATGGGAGCTATGACAAAATATGGGCCGATCGTGAATTTTTTTTAAATAAAATTTATGTAAACTAAATCAATATTTGTGCCAAATTTTGTAAGGTTATCATTATGACCAAATATGGACAGATCGCGAAACAATTTTAAAATTACATTTTTAAATACAAAAGTAATAATTGTGGCAAATTTTGTACAGAAATTTGTGCCAAAATTTGTATGGATGCCATTATTTGGTAATGAGTTATGTGCGTTTAAGTGATTTTTGGGAGGGACCTTGTATGGGTGCTATGACCAAATAGGAACCGATCGTGAAAAAATTTTATAGTATAATTTCTATATATAAAAGCAATATTTGTGCCAAAAGTTTTATGGATACCATTATTTAATAATGTGTTATATGTGTGCAAAATTTTGCATGGATAACATTATTTGGTAATGTGTAATGTGCGCTTAACGTATT